TTAAGCAAGAACAGAATATTTTATTCGTGGATTTGGAAATGATTTATGTTTATCATTAATTACTTATTCATGTAATCATAGCTTTAGACGTCTGTGAGATCGTTATGTTTGTTAATAGCTTATAGACTTGTAGATAATAAATTGTTGCCCACTATCCTCGTATTCTCGTAATGACACTTTTCCAAATCAGGTCACATGCATATGTATATGGTTTTTTTTAAGGGGGGAAAATTACTGACTATAAAACCACCACGTTCCTTCTCCTGCACGTCTAGCCGGAGCCCCGGTAACCCGTTAGGTTCTCCGCGACATATGTAGTCTATGGTTAGAGGGCAATCATTAATTATTCGATATCACCAAAAATAAACGCGACTTAAGCCATAATCTTGTGATAAAAATTTTAAAAGTTAATAAATACAGTATTTTCACGCAGCTTTAAAATCAAACCCAAAAACTTCGTACGGAATCAACCCAGCAGTATTAAAATAAACCCATATCGCATCAGACATAAATATTTTCAACCGAGAATACATTTGTCGTAAACTTGAATGAGTCGCAAGGGTGTCCTACATTATACCTATTAGCTAATCTCTAATAATACGCAATTACTGTTCGAGAACACGCCAATATTAGCCTCGATATGATCTTACAATACCTTACTTCAACCCGTTATGTGCAAACTTTATCAATTTAATTCGTAACTAAAGTCTACTTACATTGATTTACAATTCCCACAAGCATTGTTAAAATTCGTGAGGTTTAGTAATATCGTAATAAAATTACTATAATTAATCCTTGTTGAGTTAGAAGCCTTCTTTAAACAAGGATTTTGTAATTTTGTTAGCCATCAAGCTACCCTTGAGACGAGGGTCGTCAAGAGTCCTTCTGGCTTCTCATTTTCTCGCGAAACAAGATCAATTTTACCTCATAACTAGACTAGAGAAACACGGAAATATTCAAAACTTCGGAATATTTAATGATCATGAATTTGTTGGTTTCTTTGAAGCAGCATAATTTGTTTAATAAAACTTAATCATTTACGTTAAACCTTAATTTATTCAAAGTTTAAGGGCTGTAGCACAATAGCCAAAGGGTCACTTGGAATGATTTGTGATTATGCATTGCTTTGTTTATTCTGAACGGACTTTTAGTGTAGTAAAACAATTTTCTTGTTTGGTGAAGTGTTTAGGGATCTTTACAAATATATCATCAATCAACCGCAAGTAGGTATATTCAATAAGCGCACAAACAGATTTTCAATCATAAACATAGCTAAATTTAGACGTCGTCCATTAATTTCGTTTTATGTGTATATTTTGCGTTCAAAATGCGACACTTTGAAGCAATTCATTTTATTTAAACCCCTATATTCACATAATGATGACAATTTTCAAACAACAATAAATTTCTCGTTCCTAAGTATTTTATAAAATTCAAAGGGAACTTAGTACGAAACGTGGGCCCGCGTGTGTTAATTAACTCTATTCAAGCGTCCGTTCTTTTTTTATATACGAAACAGAAGCAGGCCGCTAACAAAGCAATTATTTTCTTTACAAAATTAATTATTTCCCTTGTATTGGTGTTCTGTTCTCTCGCTTTAATTACCGAAGTGGGTGCTACGTGTTGCGACTTGCGACTAATTGACCGTAACGCGCACTAAAGTATACCGCTGTGCCACAGAAGGAAAAATTCTACCGTAGGCCAATAGGAACTAATCATCTTAGTGGGAAAAATAATTACTTTTATAACTTATACCGTATAGGCGACCATTGAACCGGGAAATTGAATAGCCCCGCTGTGTGTTTCTACAGCTAATAACATTTTATTGAACACGAAAGTAAATCACGTCGACTTGTGATGTTCTTATATTTTAATCTCCGTAAATTAATTAACGAATAATCTTTCATTACGCTAATTTGTTCCAGGATAATAATTATTTTCCATGGTAAATAAACTTAGAATTACTTGTGTGAACAACAAAAGTAATTAGTGTAAATATCCAGTTTGTCTTCATTTTAGCGTTTTCCTCGCTTATTTTTAGGCACTTAATGTAACAAATTTTGGTCATCATTTCAAACCACATCACCTTTCTTTACCTTTCCCGTTTGTGTTTTGTATTATTACTAGCTGTTGCCCGCGACTTCGTTCGCGTGGAATTGTGAATCACAGCTCCTCTCCTCTCCCCTCCTATCCCGCCTATATGTTGACCCAACTTGTTAGAAATATTCATGCAAATTTGAAGTAAATCCATGCAGTACTTTTGGAGATCATCCCGGACATACATACAGACAAACAGACAAAAATTCTAAAAACCATATTTTTGGTTTCGATATCGGTTGTAGATCACGCCTCAAGTATTCTTTTTTAAAATATTCAATGTACAGTTTTGAGTTTTCTACGATTTTATTATATTATGTATATGGAATAGATTATTTTATTCTTAACGAAGACTTTAAGTAAAATAAAATCATTACTATTTAATCAATTCATCAAATTGAACTCTGATATCATTAAAAATACAAAATCCTAATTTTGTATTTTATCGTAGATACAAACATAGCCCAAGGCTTTTGTAACGTGAATACTTGTCCTACTGCTTCCGTGCAAGCTGTGGTGTGGAACAATTTTACCGAACAACAAGAGTCTGGCTAATGGAAATTAGCTTCCAGGGCTAATTGCCATGAATACGTTTAACATAAATCAACGGTGTTTTAAAAAACATGACGTGAGAGAAGGGAGAATTTTTTCGGGGAAATAATACCTTTTTAATGGAAAATCTTTATCGCATGTACAATATTTGAATATGTAAATGTAATTTTTTCTTACCTTTCGCGAAATTTCTCTTGTAATAAATTATGGCGGTATTTAGAGAGTAGATAGTTGTGCTATATACAAGAAAATAAATTGTATAAGTTTGATTTGAGATTCAATTTTTATTTCAATAATGATAGTTCATTAATAGAAGTACTTATTGAAGAAAACAACAGATAATAATTTAAATGATTTATTGTATTGCATTGTTAATATTTTTACAAACATATTGATGTACAGCGTACAATTATAAATCAATTAGTCGTCCATATCTCTCAAGATGGCGGCGAAGCCACAAATCTTGTACTAAAATTAACGTTGATAAATTGTATATTTTATTAGGCCTGCAAGATTTATGAACTTCTGCGCCTTATTTAAGCTTTTTTAATTTAAATATTTTACTTTATACTCGGTTTTATGAGAGGGTTAAGAGGCGTCAGCGTCGCTTGAGACCACTTGAAGATTTTTATGTTTAATTTAAAAGATGATGATAATATTACATAAAATCATCTTTAATACCAACACTGTAGGACGTTGTGAAGATCGTAACGAGTCATTAATTACCAACTTCTAAACTTCCGCGGGATTTTTTGACAGTTTCAAAGTTCAATATTTTTTTAATGCTAAACCCACCGGCCGTTACATTTTATCGATTTTACCTACTTAAGCATTCTTCTTTTCTTTGTGGGTAGTTAAAATATTTTAATTCTATTTAATTTATTACTTTTAACACCATAATTTACTCAACAACAATAATAGGTAAGAAACAGCTGACGCCTTCCCACAGATTAAAAATTCATTCACAAGTACAGTCACGTCGATCTCGCATCTATCAGCATGGACCAGTTAGCACAGTGCTTAACAGAAATGAAAATTAGCCGCCATTAATATTCAAATTAGCAAAAACTTAATTTACCTTTTGTTTTGTACACAGCGGACTGTTACACAATAATTTTTATTTCTGTTAAGCCTCAAGTCCTTTTGAAACAATTTTCTAAATCAATTTGCGTCTTAATTTAATAATATTTTTAATTTATATTCTACGATAATAGTATCGCGGTCCACTCTAAAAGTTGAGTGAACTAAAAATATTTATTTTCAGTCTTATTTGCGAGCATTAACGAGCGAATGCTTTGTATTCATTTTAATGTGAAACGAAAAATGGCAAACACGATTTATTGTCTGTGGTTCTTTGTGATTGGTTAGTTTACAATAATAAATACGTTCTGTGTAGCAATTTTCGTTTCACACTAAAAGGGACTCTTTTGTTCAATGTATTTAAGGCAGTCCTTAATGAATATTAGTCGTAACATTATATAATACTAGATCATTACCTTAGAACGTAGCTACAGCTATAAAATAGTACTTAATACAAATCTTTAATTTATTTATGTTGTAAGAAAATTCGTAAGTACGTTCCTTGATTAATGAAGTTTTGTTTGTAAAAACATATTTGATGTTTAAATATAATCTGTTTTGATTAATTATTGTGATGTGCAAAATTAAATAAGAGTCGTAGTCATTGTAGTATAAATGCCTGTGCGTCACAACCTTACAAATAAAAAAAAACTTAAATAAACAAATTTACAAAAACTAAAATATAATGAAACAGAAAATTACTGAAAGGAGTCAAAATACAATTTTGTTTCTAACAAAATTCATAACAATTCTTAAGTACATTGCCTTTTCTACCGTTTTAATCTTGCTTTTTTATCTGGCAACACTGAAGAGATTCTTATCAAGCAACAGGCTAAAGCGCATCACGCTAAGCGTCCCTAACTAAAATAATACAAACTTACATCTAACTTCAGATCTATACTTGTTCTCAACACTTTAATAAATAAAATTATCGTAAACTTGTCTTATAAATATTTCAAACCATAATCGTAGCAATTTGGCTAATCAAACAAAATACTTCAGCCCATAGTTGTAGCAAAATTGCCTAAAATCGTAGAATCCTCAGTGCCATAACATTTCGACACTAATTAATCACAAATACCTAAACTAAGTAAATATTATATAAATATAATTTTGTACTGTCATAAGTCCGTACACATCGATATGGCGATAAAAGGATAACTATCACATTCCTCCCTCCAAAATTTTGTTTTCTACCAAAATGGTAGTTTATTGGGGCAACACATTTATTTTTATTTGAAACCTTATGTCTTAGGAATTGGAGTCTATTTTCACACATACTGTCGCGGTGCTGGTCCGTTTTTCCTTGAGTGAGGCAGTGTGTCGTCATTGTTGCCAGTGTTGTTGTTATGTAAAAATGACATTTCTACTCCTGCATCCCCACCCTGTAAAAAATATAAAATTCAGTTACTGACATAAATCTTGTCTTATAGTTATATCATTTTAAATTAAACAGGTCTTGTTTAAACTTTTTAAATGAAATCTAAAAGTAATACGTAAATATTTTCATTCATTATAAATATTTCATAAATGTGGGAGAGCCATGTTCGGCACGAACGGGCCGGCTCGACCGAAGTGATACCACGGCCTCACAGAAAACCGTCGTGAAACAACGCCTGCGTTATGTTTCGTCGTATGAGTGAGGTTACCGGAGGCCCAATGACTCCCCCCTCGCCAATCTCCCCAATCCCTGAATCCCCTACAATCCTCAAATTTCCAATTCCCAAAAGGCTGGTAACGCACTTGTAACGCCTAGGTGTTTCAGGTGTCCATGGGGGACGCCGATTACTTATCATCAGGTGATCCGTCTGATGATTTACCGGTTTATGCCATAAAAAAAATCTGTTACTGTTTTGTAAACGAGATACTGGACATAAATAGTCTGTAGATAAACTTCTATTCTTTGTGCATTAAAAGACTTTGTATTAAAGGTTTTCCATGTAAGTCTGCGGTTCAGTCGCAAGTCGGTTGATCGACTACTGAGCAAAACACCCATTAATTCAGATTTTCAAAAATTCTCAAATACAGCGTTTGCCCTCATAATAACACTTTTAACATAAAACTGGTAGCTACATTTGATATTACATGCACAACGTACATATAATAGGAAGCTATGTATAAAATATAATTTCAATTTGTATGTCAGTATTACCTCGGAATGCATAGGGTTGGCCGTAATAGTGATTGGCACTTTAGCAGGGATGTACCCGTTCGTGGCTCCGGTCTCGGGCACTGAGCCTTTCTCTTCTGCAATCAATCATGCAATGTGTTTTGACAGCCGCCTTCAAGTCACTATTATGACGTCAATGTTTTGTTATTATATGATCCTATTGTTAAGTTAAGCGCTCTCCTCGTTTCATGCTCGGATGATCTTGAACTGTTTTCATGTTTAATTAAATTATTGTTTTGAGTTAAACTATTAATCGCTTCTCGAGTATGATACTTGGTGTGCCTAAATGGCGTATTATGCTATACTTTTTTTTACTTTCTAAATAACATTCTAATGAGATCATTTATGTCAATAGAATGTTCGGTCTCTAACTAGAATCATATAACAGCAAACATCAAGGACATTAATAAAATCATATTATGCATCTAGAAAATTTTCAGATCAACAGATCTTGCTCAATATCTATACAATGGGGACTACTGTACTTTTGCCTACCAGACGGCGGTAGTGCGAGTAGTCTTCGTCCAATAGGGAATTAGCTAGTGTCACACCTTTGGACGTTCAATATTCGACAGCTGCTATGATTGGTCAAAACCCCCTTTCTATCAAGCCATCTGATGAGTAAAAAACGTTAGCCCCCACACAAAAATCTTCAAACCATAGTAAGTATTTATACTGACTGTCAGTGGTAGGTCTTCTTGCCCGCCTGCAGAGTAGCAGCGCGATGGCGAGCAGTACCAGCAGTGCGGTGGCGCCCAGCGCGCCGCCCGCCGTGACGAGTGCAGCGGGCGCGCCTCGCGTCGTGGCGGCGCCCCCGCCTGCGCCCCCTGCGCCCCCCGCTGCGCCCCCACCGCCCACACCTGTACCCACCGCGCTGTGACTTGTTCCTGCCGCTGGACGAAGGGTCTTCGCGGTCTATGAAGATAAGGTGGATCAAGGTTAGTCAGTATTCATATTATGCACGTACGAGACATTTTTTTTTTAATGGGACAAGCCCGCCACAACCTCCCAAAACCGCTGCAACTCCAGTAAGCCAGGATCTACAGTAGATACAACCATGAAAACACCGGAACACTGAAGTCCGGCGCGTCCCAGGGACATGAGTAACTGTCTTGGTTCCCGCAACGAAATGAATCAGAAGATATTATAAGAGGAGAAGAAAAAACTATAGTTTCCACTTCCCTCGGTGAATTTCTGCAGGAGACAGAATGAATTAAGCCTAAAGGCACAAAGAAGAGACTGTAGAACTGGGAGAAGCCCAGTCGCCAAGCACCACGGAAATTTGACTAAAAAACTAAGTGGGTCCTATGTGTGAGCTGTTATACTTGCTTCCAATAATAGGTATGGCAAAAACGCCTAAACGCACGGAAATTTGTTCTAGATTCCACAAGGTCCGTATAATAAGCTACACCTGACGAAACAATTAAATTATTCAACATAGTGTTACGTTCATATTGCCAGAGATCACACTCCCAGAGTATGTGATGGGCCGACTGCTCGTATTGCAAATCCACTGTCGAACATTGGCACCATGGTGAATCAATAAGTTTAAATGAGAACAATTTGCTTTTAAAGTTGCCGTGGCCAGTAAGAAATTGGGCAACACAGTGATCCACCTCCAACCATGTCCTCTCCAGCCGCTCATGCACGGATGGGAAGAACTGATATAGGTGGCGGCCCTTAATAGAAGATGCCCATCTACCCTGCCATTCAGTTATAAGCTCATCCCAGACGTCCGTTATTGGCTTAAACAATCTAGCAATTTTATTTCTATCACGTTGTGCTAGAAAGCTTGCTGACAAATTAGGTACGAGACATTTAATTACATTGTACGAAAACCAATAACTGTTTGAAAAGCAGGATGGACAACGTCTGTTATCACGGAATGCTACCGTAACTATGGGCCCCTTGCGTAGCTTGAAACTAATCGAGCTACTTGGTCGAACCATCACGTAAGGCGTACAATGTAATTGATTTCATAATACTGTTCTTTATTAGAACGGATCAATGAAATTAAATCTTATTGTGGAATATGAAATCAAAAAACTTAAATGCTTATGATTTCTCTATATAAATAAAAAAGGCTGTGTATTATAAAACTGTATACAATGTACCAAAATCACTGATCAATGTGGCTACCACAGAATTATTATATCTGTGGTGGCTACCAACTTTAATTAAAGTATAGAACGAAACGTACCTTAATAGCACTGAACTCGGACGCAGCCTGTGCAGTGTAGGCCTGTAGTTTGATGTCGTAGCTAGTGTCGGGCGCGAGGTGAGTGAGCAATAGTTCCCGCGGCTCGCCCGACGTGGTCACCTTCTCGTACGCGCCGGCCGACGACACAGCGCGGTAGTACACGTAGAAGCCTTCCGCTTCTACCTCGCCGCCGCTTGACCACTGGGGAATGAAATTCTTTTAGGGGACGACAGTCACTATCCTTCCGGAGTAGAATACATACAAAAGTGGATAGTGACAGCACTATTCTTGCTCTTCCCACACATGTTGTAAGAACTACTAATGGCCAGTTTCTATAACCTATCTATCTGTAGATTTGCGTACTAGAGATAGAATTTTCACACATTTCCTATGGAGCTTGTGTCAGAATTATATCTCTAGTAAGCAAATGTACAGATAAGTTATTGAAACTGGCCATAAGGGACATATTCAACAGAAATAAGGCAGCATCGCAACACCTTCTCATGAACCTGATCCCTTTGAACTGTAATCTCCAACCAGCCGCCAAGCTTGGCAATTACGGTATACCCCCATTTGTATAGACGACCCATAGTCTAGCAGTGGAAAGATGACAGCACTCCTTCAGCAGAGCTTAGAATGAGTTTATTTTACTTTTAACGAGATCGAAACAAGACCGCGATCGACGCTCTGATTGGTTAGTTTATTGGAGCACTCCAATCAGACCGCCGACGTCCAGAACCAATATTTTTTTTAAAATAAACTTTGCCCCACGTTAGAATTTTCTTCTATATCGTGGGTGCGTTTACAAACATACAAGTTCACATACACATGACACCCAAACCCGTAACAACAATCTGTGGATCACACAAAGAGTTGTTCCGTGCGGGAATCGAACGCGCGACACGTTGCGCGGCAGCCCAACCACCACACTAACGGTGCAGTCAATTTCTTCATCATCATCGTACCTTTCATACAATTATTGATTACGTTACGTGTGCGTTTCTATCTGTTCTAATAATTATATTTTTAATACGACTTCCAGGAACTCACCGTCCACTCCAGCTGTATGGTAGTAGGCGACATGGGCAGTGCCCGCGCCAGTACGGGCGCGCGCGGCGCCTTGAACCCGCCGCGCTGCAGATGGAAGCGCGCGCTACTCTTACCCAACTTGTTATCCTGGTTCGAGTATACTGCTGCGATGCGGAACCTGGGGTGAAGAACATACTATGTAACTTTAAGTCATAGAATTATTTAGTTTCCAAAGTAAACTTGTAATGCCTTCACACACTCCGGTTGCTGGGTAGCTGATTCAGGGTATTCGGAAACCAGCGCGTGTGGAGAGGGCCTCTAACACTATTGCCCGAATACTGAAACGTTACTCAATTTTAAGTCGCGCTTAAGTATAGTTCTGTCACTACTAATTCTTTGTAAAATGGCAGAGATGGCACGATATTTAAGCACGACTTAAATATGAGTAACGTTTCGGTACTTTCAGTATTCCGGCATATGTTTATTGTTTTTGAGTAAAATTTTATTGATTGTTTGTATGTAACCCTTAAAATAGCTTATTCTTAAATTGACAACATGCAACCCTTTTAAAAGGACAATAATTTTTTTTTTATTATTTTTATCAAACTAATAATTAAGAACCTTACTTTCCTATATTTACGACTCAAAAAGAAATACTAATACCGAATGAAAAACTATCCAAAGGTTCACTCTTTCCAATCTATTCTAAATTCAGCTCTAAACTGACGGTGTACGCAAACTTCCAGATTAAACAAAAACGCGTTTGAACACGAGAGCCGTGAACTGAGAGCGAGCGATCGGATACATCGGCGATGACATTGTGCCCTCCCATGCAGAACACTAAGCTTGACCTGTGTTCCAGAGACTCAACGAATAACGAAGCAGGTATCTAAGTTTTACAATTTTATCATCATATTTTGTGTCACAGCTTTGATAATTATCAAATTATACTAAATTTATTTTAGTACTGTGGGCATTTATAATAATCAAGTTGCAGTGTTGAAAACATCTTATAAAAAATATCATGCAGATAAATCAATCGACTTTAATAGACACGATTTTATGACAACTCTAACAAGAGTTACTACTTCAAATACCAAGTAGGTACCCTTCTCAAATAAAATCGAGTATATTTCGTTAAATAATGGATAATTAATAATTATTAATCTGATTTTTCGTAGTCTAAAATTCATTCGCCCAAATACTAAAAGGCTACTCAATTTTATGTTGCACTTAAATATCGCGCCATCTCTGTCATTATACAAAGAATTTGTAGTGACAAAACTATAAGCGCGACTAAAAATTGAGTAGAGTTTCAGTATTCGGGTTTCTGTTAAAATTTTTAAGAACAATTACTTACTTGTAATATTTGCCAGGAGTTAGTCCGTCTATCTGGTAGGAATGTATGTATGCGGGTATATCCTGGTTAGCAGTGTTCCACTGAACGTTGCTGGAGTTGCTCACCTCTCTGTATTGTACCTGTTAACAAAGAAAATCTATATGTAGTAAATTATGTATAACACTTAGATAATCTGGCCACTCTCACTACGAAGAAAATCTCATCATGGTATTATCTTCCATCGCTAAGAATACTTCTACTGGAAATTACACAAATTGAAATGAAAGCTTTGATATCACCACAAAGTGCTTTTAACAAATCCTTAGTTTCTCTAAGAATAAAATTAAAACGAATGCCAATTTGCCATCGTTAATTCCAATGAGTACTTCCGCTAGTCGGCTAGGCCACAAAAACTCTGAGATCTTATAAAATGCTAACTTTTGTCCGCATTTCCTGCAAGGCACGGGCGACGGACCAAAAGCAACGACTTAAACCATTACTCCGGTCCCCTTTGAGCATTTTATACAAGAAAATACGAGTTTTCAAGAAAATAATTATGAATCGGGCTGTGTATCTTGTTTATGCAGTGTGCTGCGGGCTGGGCCAAGCTGTTCCTATCTCGTGGGTGACATAAAAGACGTCTGGAAGTAAACCAGCACATGAAATGAAAACCGCGCAAAAATAACGTCAAAAAATATTGTGTATACGGAATGTCTTGATACCACTAAAACTGACGAAGTAACAAAATATATCTGGTTGAATTTACTTTACTTAGTATTAGAATGCCCAAAACTCACCACCCTTAAAATAAAAATAAACTCATAATAAAAAAATAATGAGTTAATAGCTTCAACAATGACCAGCATCAATATAATGACGCGGTATTTTCAGCGACATTTTCGTAACAATGCAGCCATATTTATATTAAAATGCTTACCTTGAAAAACCGGATGGGTAGTCCTTGATTGTCATGCGACCATGACACCATCACGCTTTCATCATTCAACCGGGTAACGTTGGGCCTTGATGGGGGAATCATTACGGCTGGAACAAAAAGGCCGACGTCAACATTTTGCTCGAAAATATCTCTAAGATTTGAATTTTTTGTTTTCTTGAATATTTACCTTTGTGCTTTCTAGGATTCTTTCTGTTGTGTCGTTTTGGTGGTTGAACTGAATAACGTGTTTTTGGAACCTCCACTGGGTAGTCCTGTGCAAAGTAAAAACCTATAGAGATTTTGATCGACTGCGAAAATGACGTTTACTTACAACAATCTATAAGATTTCAGAATCTCGACCTTATTTGTTTTTTAATCAAGTTTATAATCGAATGAATAATTTGGACAGTAAATTGCTATTAGAATTTACCTCCTTTCCCTAATAATTACCTCATCATTGTAGTAAACGAATACTTGAGTATTTATCTGGGTTAAAAATAAATTATTTTGATTTTTAAATCCAATTAAATATTTAATAATAATTACAATTTCATACATATATTTGGCGATATACTTAATTTTCGATTTATTCTAGCATTTTTTTCAGAAATAAGTGTGCAATTTGACTCGATAATATGATGACGTCATTAGTTAATTTTTGGTACAAAATTCATAGAACAATATCGTTTTTGACGTTTCGATAAAAGTATTGAGAAAAGAATTTGATTAGTTATAAAATACTATATTATTTTTTCTGTTTATATACACGGGCTTACCTGGTCGGGTATCTGCAGTGGTACAACAGACAGCATCCCAGCCCCGTACGCACAGCCGAGCGAGTTGCACGCGAAGCATTGCACGATGCCTGCGTGACGCTTCTCCACGTGCTCAATGTACAGGTCCGTGTCTGATTTATAATAATTTATGCATTTAAGTTAATATTCATATAGAAAGAAAGAACATAAATAAAGAAGAAAAAATAGACAAATCTTAATAAACGTAATTTTTTACGTATGTATTACCTACAGGTGTGTTCTGCTTGAGATCCGGTTGGATTCGTAACTAATCGAGCATCCCCGTTTTATCTTTTTTCAATTAAAACATTAACATTGTATTTAAATGAATTTTGAAATAAACTTAAGATGTTATTTAATACAAGTGAAAAGTTATGTTATTTTAATTACTAATTAGTACATTGTAGACGTTTAGTACAAATAACGCTCTCCTCTACATTCTACATTAATAGTTAGTTAATTCTTATATCAAAAAAGTATTACTAGGTTTTTTAAGTAGTAGCACGGAGTCTGGAAATGTTCCCGTTACATGGCAATAGGCTCACCCCCTATTACATGGGACTCATAACATAAATAATGAAAAGCGGGTGTTACATTGTACAGCGGCATTAAGTTCCGTAATGCCTCTGTACAATGTAACAACCTCTGCCTACCTCTTCGGGGATAAAAGACGTGATGTTATGGTATGTCTAAATCATATATGGTGAATTTCAAAATTTACAACGCACATTAATTGAAACACATGTCCACACAAGTCCCACCCGATCAATTTATTTCACTCGCTTTATTTTTACATGTTTTTATAGGAGAAATGCTACAGGTTTCATTGGCAAACAATATTTATGTCGATCACGGCCCAATAAACTACGGGACAGGGGCGACAAAAAGCAATTGATTTATGAGTTTTCATTGAAAAGTATAAAACATATTTTATTTTTTAAACTGAAAGCCGTCAGTTTGTTGATAGGGGAATAATATGGACTAGTGTTTAATGTACGGTGAAATAGATAACTTATGTTCTTCGATTAATGTTACTTATTGTATGGAGTGTGTACTATTATCGCCCGAATACTGAAAGGCTACACAATTTTAACTCGCGCTTAAGTATAGTTCTGTCTCTATAAATTCTTTGTAAAATGACAGAGACGGCACGATTTTTAAGTACCTACAACTTAAATTTAAGTAGCCTTTCAGTGTTAGGGTGTAAGTCCTGCGACTGAGAAAATGGATTTTATTTCGATTCCAAAGTTTTTAGAAATCATTGAACCTGAAAATTCGAAAAATGTGTTTTGTAATCATATGGATTTCATAGGCTTCTATCCAACGAAAAATTTAGTTGACGTCGACCCTAAAATACAATTTTAGGCCTTAGACACTTCGATTGCTACTATCGTGCAAATAAAAAAGTTGTACAATTTTTACGAAAACAATCTGTACTCACTGTTAGCTTTAATCCCTTTCTCATTTTTCAGCACTTCAGAATTGAGCACCCAGTACACGTGCGGCGGTGGTTGACCGAAGGAGTTCCCACAGGTCACGTGTGCCCTTCCACCCTCATTAGGAGTTGATACGGAGACGTTCCCGTCCCAGTGAGGAGGTTGCAGGGCTAAGACCTTCCACGAACGTCGGATACCATTCGCCGAGCACGCGTACACTCCCTGCAAATAATATAAAAATGAAATCAAGGAAAAATAAATGAAGACTTATTTGTACTTAGTAACTACGTAAGTTAGTTCATTATAATATGTGGTATAAACTTACGAGTAACTAATGGGTGTGAATGTAATTCAAAACGAAAGTATACAAAACAGAAGGACATGGAAATACAGAAATTACTAATGAAAAGTGATAAATTGTAATACCTATACGTCATCATAATATCACGCCTTATATCCCCGAAGGGGTAGGCAGAGGTGTACATTATGCCACTGTACAATCTTTTCACTATTTATGTTATGAGTCTCATGTAATAGGGGGTGAGCCTATTGCCATATACCGGGCACAATTCCAGACTCCGTGGTACTACTGAGAATTTTTAAAAACCCAGTAATACTTTGCCCGACCCGGGAATCGAACCCGAGACCTATTGTCCGGCAGTCGCACTTGCGACCACTTGGCCGTACGTTTATTTGAAAACAACAAGAATAGTGTTTTAGAAATAATATGAAAAATTATATTCCAAAAAAACTTTTGTTACCCGTCTCGGAAGCCATCGAAACATTAAAGTTGAGGTCTTAGAATTATTTCTCAGTTCCCGAACAAAGAACACGTTCAAGACACAAACGATTTTTCTTACAAGATGGCACTACTGAAAATGTCCCAAAGCTCTTTTCTTCACAAAGGCAGACAATACAAAGCTTACACAAAAAATATCAAACACAATATAAATAAAGCTTTCACGTTTTATAATCTGTGCGTCCATGGTCTTACAAAGCGTTCATAACATTTAACGCGGGACCTAGGAGTTCCGTAATGGGTACTAACTTAGATTTTGGGAACTAACCATTAGTTTTGGTTAGTTTCCTGTGTATTTGGTCTTGTCAAGGATTAAGGATATGTACCAATAAATGCCCGATACACAGAGGTCTGTAGGTCTATAAACCTCATTCGTGTGTAAGCCTATAAGTCGGATTAGATCAAGCTAGAATTGAGGAAAAACATACCCAATTCCACAATCTCTGATTTTTATTTAAATGTATTGATAGATTTATATACTTTATGAAAAATATTCGAGCATGTTATAATGAATTACATTTTACAGATCCCTTACGAAGAAAAAAACAATTACAAGGAAATGTTTACATACTACCATAGTCCACTACTGCTACAGTGTACCTAGAATAACTATAGACACAACACTTTCAAACAGCAAGAAGTATTTTAAAACCAATAAACTTAAGACTTACCTCATTGGCGGGTGTAAAAGGTGATATCATCAACATATGTTGATTGGCGAATGTCTTCAACTCTCCCTCGCTCTCCAACGACCATGAGATCTTCGGAGGAGGAGTACTGACCGCCCCGCACCATAGCCGAAGTACTCCGTTAGGTTTCACCGGCATCGTCAACACATCCTCATCTAATACACCTACGTACTCTTCTGATTCTAGAAACCTGTAAATAACAAAAAGGTTTAAAAACTCCATCATTGTATCGATCACAAGACTTGCAGACATCAGTTTTAATTTCGGAAAACTTTGAGCAAACAATTATTTGTAATAATTAGTGGCAACAATAATGAATGCCGTTTAATGCAATTGTAAATTGTAGTTAATAAATATCAACAACATTCATCCGTCAATTTTATACAACATATATAATGTACACAGTATACTAACACATAACAAACATACTTGTGTGTGTAATAATAAATAGCAAAATTGTGTAGCACCTGTGATAACAAATACTCTTATTAACCCGGAAATCAAGACCACTGTCACGAAGAAAAGACCTAGTACCCCAAAGACCTAATGGCAATTACAGACTGACAAAACAACTGTTCTTAACCAAAGAAAGCTACATGTGTCCATATATAACTAAGTTCCTTCAACAGTAGTACGGTACCTATATCGTGACCAACCACAAGCAAGTCTCATTTAATCCAAAATTTAGTTAGACAAAGTTTCAAAACCACAACCACATGTCTGCGATAGAACCAGACTCGACGCAGTCTTGAATCGGTAAAGGAATTGTGGTCCACGTCGTTTCAAACACGTAAATACTAGTAACAATAGGTATAGTGGGTAGATGCTCTTGGAAATCAGTTCGTCTTCATATTATCGTCTCATATTCTTGCTGGTAAAAACGGTGTTATAAACTTTCATTATGACTTTAATTATGACCTAGCCTTGGACTGCAGTCGCGGAGAACCTAACGGGTAACCGGGGCTTTGGCTCGACGTGCAGGAGAAGGAACGGGGTGGTTTTTAGTCAGTAAGAGTCTGACACTCCCTCCCGCCTCACCCAGGCGGGAGCAGTCATACATAGAACTGAACATGTACTCTGATTCGACAAAAAATAAAATTTCCAAGTTGATTGTAAGTAAATCATCCGTTAATACGTTCCTCAAAGGTAAGTTTAATTTTATATGAAGACATGTTATGTTATTGTTGCCATTGTTATAATTAAAAAAAAACGCCTTCAAAATAACAACAGGTCTGAAAATACCACGTCTTTTTATTCCCCAAAGGAAAACGTAAATGGAGGTTCACAGAACTTTTGTCTTTTGGTCTGTTGACTTACACAAAGTCGCTGTTTTAGGTAGGCTATTGGGTATAATTAAGTATTGCTTAACAATTCACACTAACCTGACTTCCCTACTCCCTTCACGTTGGACATTCAAATGAGTCTTCTGTGCCACATCGAGAGCTTCTCCACTCAGCTCATTAGTGGCTCTACAGCTGTATGTTCCACTGTCATCCGACGTCGCATTATGAATCACCAGCACGCCGTGAGGAGTTTCCAGTTGCTTCCTTTTACCCTGGAAAAAGATCATGTTTTAATAAAGTCATAGAAGAGGAAATTACTAATTGATAGCACAATATAGCAGTGCGAAAAAATTACAAATATAAAAATGCTCCCAACTATGATGCCGTTAACGAATAGGTAGTGACTTCAATCCGTTTCTTTAAAAGATTTTCAAGTCTATTGTTCTGTAATTGAAAGTCGAAAATCGATAAGCTCTCCGGGACAGAAAAGTCAGGATATATTAATCCTTTAACTGCCAACAAAAACTATTAGAGGCTCCGCTTCGTAAATGGCGTCCGTCCATCATTGTACAACACGGCATCCAATGTGTTAAAAAATAATTGCTGAAACACACTTAACAAGTGAGAGTTCAATCAAAATTACCTTTGTGGCATTATTCTTTACAACCTACATGCCTACACATGAATACACTATATTCATGTATGAAAGCTCTTCAGCATTCTCCATACAAACACTTGATGTAACCGAAAACAACAAAGTTTTTCTAGAATAATCTAAAGATAATATTTGACGCTGTGTCAGCGCTGTGTTCATGTTTGTATCAAGTGTTTTCTGAGAACATCTACACTTTGTATTTCGTGTCTTGTGTTAATAGTACAAGCTTCCTCTGTTACAGCCGATTAAATTCGGCTCTTGGAAGATAATCTAGGAGTTACAGATAACTTTCTTGAATCGGCAAAACAGCAACGTCAAATTTTTAAAAGAAGTTTTCTTTGATAACGGTTACTGCAATGAGGATTTCTCATTGTAAGAAGACTAGTTAGAAAATCATAAAATACTAAAGCAATTCTAGTCTCTAATACCGCACAATACGGTAAACTATGCTTACATTTCTTGCCATTGCCCCAAAAGTTATCCGATTATTTCCCAGAACTGTGTGAATATAGTTTCTAAACACTGGTTTGTTCACTTCCAAAAAACCACCCAACGTGTGTATTCAAACCGAAGTTCGTTATAAAATATTCGCGTATCGGTTCACCATACAAAGCGACCGCAAGTATACTAAAACATGCTTTGATTCTGTGAGATACAGGCTAAGCTTAACTTTGTTTACCAACTATTCACGAACCAGGCATAAGAGCCTTCTAGAGTATCGAGTTTCTTTTGAAATATAGGCTTTTGTTGTATTTATTCTGTACGTAACCACGACTTTACGTCCGCTGTAAAATGAGATAAACTTGAAATTTATACTGGTTTTATTTATGTAGGTATATTTTAGAAGGCTATCTAGATTTTCGGTCACGTAGATTTAAATAACGATTATGTTGTGAGACCTCACACAGCGAAATAATTACGAATTCAAATACCGAACGTGCTGTAAATGGAATTATCTACTAAAAAGATGTTTCTGTTCGAGGTATTATCTGGTTAGCACTGGCCGGTTTTGCATTTACAATCTATTATTATCAATCATCAACATCTATAAAATGGAAATAAAATCTTTGCTAATGAATTCGACCTCGAATATCTTTTACTAGGAATATGACTAATTTTATCCATTACATCAACTACATGCAGTCGGATGCGCAGAACTGGACAATAAGCTCCGTAGCATGTTATAAGAGACCTAGATATAATCATCAACAGAAACAGCAAAGCATGTTTTTTTTATTATTTAATTAATTAAACTTTAATTAACATTAAGATTTTCTCCTTTGTCATGGGTGCGTTTACAAACATACAAGAGTTCACATACACGTGACACTCAGACCAGAAACAACATTTTGTGGATCACACGAAAAGTTTCATCGTGCGGGAATCGAACCCGCTACACGTTGCGCAGCAGCAAGCAACAACGGCACTAACCGTGCAATTAATGATTCAGATTTTTATAATTCAAACACTAGCCAGGGAACATTCGTTTCACAAAAATATCGCACCACCAAACACCGTTATAAATTTTTATTGACGTTTAATAGCTATTTATTATGAAAATAATTGAATTAAGCTAACCTTAGATCCTTCCTTCCACCACGTGAGCACAGCAGGCGGTTCCGAGGCGGGCTCCTTGCAGTGCAAGATGACAGTGTTGTGAAGAGGTGCCGTGATGACTCGTTCTTCAGCGGTCACTCTGTCTGATGCGTTGATCAGCCTCGCTACTGTGAGACGCGCCGGCACTGATGTCAAACTTACTGCTCCATACCAAACTACGCACTGTAACAAATAAAGTCAAATCCTAGTCCAAAGGCCTACAACCAAAGGGTAGAAAAAGGCTAAAGAAGAAGAAGAAATTCTTCTTCTTCTTTAGCCTTTTAGCCTTTTAGCCTGAGGGTCGATTTTCCCAACGCCAGATAAATTTTAACTGAGACAACTAACTAACTTTGAATATTTGACCATTCTTCCATACTAAAAACTGTCAAATAAATGACAATTTTATTCTACTGTTAGGAATTAACTGATGATTGAAAAATCGGCCCTTAGTCGGTTAAAATAACGTGCTTAATTAAAAAGGTTCTTCTCTCTAGGGGATACCAAACCCCAAACAGATAGCTAGTAAAAGTGATACATTAAGAATTAGATTATATGTGTTACTAACCTACTCTTATAAAATCGATGTTATCGATGTTATGTTATAAAGTGTAACTACACACTCCTGAATAAATATCTAACGACTGTAGAATGTTTGCGCTGAAATGTTTAGCTGCCGATGTTGTATCCGAGTTTTAATGAAAAAGTGTTGCCTCACTTTATGCTTACTTTTTACTCGTATTTGTAAAAAAGTAATGATGTACTGGAATGCTTATTTCAAAAAGTACTAACATTTAAAAGTACATAGTGGCATCTTCTTGCATTAGACCTTCAATACAATTAATAATTTCGGAAATGACAATCATAATCAGCAACTTTGAGCCCGATTTGAATACAATTTTTCTAGTACGTAGCCCATATTCTCACTATGAATTTCCTATACGATAATTGCAAGGAAAATGCCGTAATCGCGTTACAATATACCGCAGGTGAACCGCGGACACTCCCGGATTCCCCATGGTTCATCCCTTAGTCGCCTCTTACGACACCCGCGGGACACTAGCGCAGTCATCCGTAACCGACCACCACATGGGGACGATTGCTAATCTCGTTTGATATATTGATGTTTAACCTGTCCTTTGGCAGGATTATTTCATTTAGAAAATTAACAGGTCTTTTATTCTTTATGTATTTAAGGAACATGTACTTGCATAGAACGTAGATCTTCTTACTTGACTTAAGACTGTAAATGCAATCTTAGAATTCAGATTCATTTATACTTAATCTTTTAGACCCCAAAAGATTTTTCAGACCGAAAATAGATCTGTGATCAGAATTCAAAGAAACAAACACTTCCGCATTTAATAGAGCAAGTACACAAGAACAAGTTACAAAATCTAAAAGAAATTAAAAGTTGTTTTTTAACATGCCTGAAACCAAGTGGTCTCCAAATTCATCATGACTTGTATCTCCAGCTTGGTGCTTCTTCCCGGCAGTCCAGGTATGATCTTCTTGCCGTCTCCGTCCACTACTTCAGTCCATTGCACGTCATCCCGATCTGGTTTCCATCGCCAGACGAACCGTTCCCCTGGTACGTTGACTTCGCACTCAAACGTGACTCTGTCACCGAGAGGAGCTATCACTGACTCAGGATATTTGGTGAACTTCATCTCCAGTTCTGAAAAAAAGAATGTGTATTTTAATATTGAACACATCACTTAGAGGTATATAATAGCCACTGCTGTAAATTTTTCGTTGAAGAAAATTGAAACTAGCTCCTTATTTGAACTGATAGACCATAGTCAAAAATAATAACATAACTAATTATAATTAGTGGATCGTTGTCCTATAATTATAGGACAACAATCGATTAGTGGATCGTTGTCCTATAATTATAGGACAACGATCCACTACTAGCACTCTAACAACGCAATATTCTGTACTTAAAACATAAAAGTAGCGATTGTAGTTCAAAACAGCCATTCACAATCTCGGCTGCATCGCATCGTAGTCATCTTTAAAAAGAAAGTAGATAAGTGCTTCCTGGAAAATGATAATACTAAAAGTGACGGTAGAGCTATGTCATGAAGCATGAATATGGAGCTAAAGGAATTTCTGTAGAGGATATCAAAAACCGGTCAAAGGAATATTGAGCCGGAAGACGCAGTGTTACATAGGTAAGCACAAATACACGGATACAGAAAATGTGAATACCTAGGCTGAAATTGCAAATTGACACCTTTGAAGTAACTGCATTGTAGAAATACTTATACCAGAACAAGTGTAAAGAGTTCTGGAGTTATATACACCTGTGTAATCTTCAAGGTGTAATTATTTAACGTATTATTAGAGCTCACAACAATACAGTCGTAAGTCAAAAGCTTACCGAAGCCGAAGATATTTTCACATCATTTATCACCATAATCGATACACACAATCAGTAATTCTCAAGATCAAAAGGAACACAATTAGAATCTTTTTTTTATTTGCATACCAAAAGACTGGCCATAACAATAAAAAAGAAATCTTGCCGTCCTTGATACCTTGTTACCCACACATTTCGATCTCGGATGACGCATCCGACTCCACTGGAATAAGCTCATAATAACACATCACGCATACCATTTACGACTTTATTTTATGCACGAATAAGTTCATATTGAAATGCAGCCAGTAATTGAGTTGTTACATTTTATTTTCTTTTGTTGTCGGGCACCAATTTATGTGATTTCAGTCCCGTCAGTCATTGACCGTAACTTTATGGAGAATTTTTAAAATTTTCATCTCGTTGCCGAGTCAATAAAATGCTGTTTGTATGATTTGTAAAAGTGATTTGGTGTTGAAATGTAAATAGGTTTACTTCTTTGTCTTTTTAATTTTTAACTTGTAGACGACAATATTTTTTGTTTACAAAATTATTCTGTTTGACGATTATCAAAAAGTTCCGTAAGTACTGTGTAGTCATATTTAGCACCTTGAATGCAATACAAACCGGTAGTGTATTGAAATAACATTTTGAATGGGATTTAACTCGTCGAGTACCGGTTTTATAGACACAGTTAAAGAACAATAGGTCGCGGTCACCGGTGACCGCTTGGTGTTTGACAGTTTAACTATCGAATACACAACAAACATATTACTGGATACCTAATATCTTGATACGTTCGAGGAAATCACACTCAGATTGGTACCTTCTAGACCATTTATAGAGTTCAAATTGTAGATATAACAATGTATCAAATGTACCTATTCAAACAATTACACCTGGTTTAACATGACTTGGTTTAGCAACTATGTTGAATACAAGTTTCACTAAAACTAATGTCTGGTCTTTTAAGTTATAGCCTAGAGCCATAAAATTTAATAGTCGATAATCATTTACATATTTATAGTTTCGTTAATATAAATACTAAATTGATTATACCTAGCCTAAAAAGCTGAATGAAATAAAACGATAAATTAATTTAGTCAGATGAATAAATAGATATAAATACGATTGGTATTAGTCGTCGAGATGTCGTTTTTTTTTAATTTGATGTGGAGTTTGAAAGCTAATATTTTTATAACACGGCAGTTGTTAGCCAAGCCGTTTTGTTGGGAGTTTTCATTTGGAAATTCTGTGTAATCAAATGAAGCTTGGAAACGCGATCATAGATGTATTATGATTAACTCGAAGCTACATTCAATACAACGAGCTGCTTTCTAATGGTTTAAAAGCGGGAGAAAGATAATAAATAGAAGTCAAAAGAAAGATAATAAATGGAAGAAATTCACATTCCATTCCAGATTCACATTATAGTCAAATAGCAAATATTCATAAAACGGCACGCCGCCGTCCATAGGAAAACGTTACAAGTGCATGGGAACATTCCGCCGCAAACCGGTTGTAACGCGAAATTATTATGTACTCTGGCATTGCCAATCACTTGTTAGTGTTACCATAGTAACATAAAGCCCTTTTCACTAATGAACAAAACCCCATCTGTGTACTGAACCTATTTACAAGTGTAATGTACCTTACAACCTCGAGGCTGCGTTGAATAAATTAGATCTTATTTTGCGAACATGTCTTTGGTCCTAGAACTCTTAGAAAAAACATCTCAGTATCAGATTTGAATAAAATATCTGTCATTAAATCCTTTTGCCGTTTAATTCGTAGAATTGAAGCTTTGATCAGTATTTTTTTAACAAAAGAATAAAATAAAACTATTCATCGCAATGAATGCTTCAGAGATCCGTCTCGTCTCGAATAATATTCGCGTATAATAAGTGGAATAATATTATTAATTCACATTGCATTTCATATCGTGCGGTCGTTAAATTGACAGGAATATTTTATGATATTGCATTTTTAATAATTATCGGGCAGGCAGAATAAGCGGCCGTACTCAAAATAAATTTCAATAAAGATAAAGTGACAAATGCATTATTCGCAACGTCAGTTTAACCCGTCGTCTGTCTGAACGTGGATCCACGCGAGACGCAATGTATTTTCTATTGTGTCTCATATCGGTGCATTCAAGCGGTTCAATCATCAAACGTTTAGTAATATTGTATGGGTTTTCTATAATAGGCACAACTAGTACCTAGTTCTAAACCGAATATTTTACGACCATAAAAAATATTGAGGGGTAAGTGTTAAAATTAGGTATTAATAACATCTTAGAACCTAACGGGTTACCGGGGCTCCAGCTCGACGTGCAGGAGAAGGAACGGGGTGGTTTTTAGTCAGTAAAAGTCTGACACTCCCTCCCGCCTCACCCAGGCGGGAGCAGTCATTCGATGATATTCCCCCCTTAAAAAAAAAGACTGAAAGGTACAAAAACAAAATAAAATCTTAAATATGTAAACCTTCCAGAAAATCGTGACGTTCTAAAACATCTCATTTTATAAAGATTCTTACAAAAAAGATAATTCAATTTAAAGATCACAAGGGAAACGAAAGGTCAACATTGTACAACTTCTCAGTACTGACGACAACAATACCGAAACTTGAAGAGAAACGTCAAACGGTCAGGTGTCGAGCGTCTAATCAACTGCTACTGACCAAATCTAATTTCTGAACAAGCCGTTTCGAATCAGAACTAGTTCTCGACCACTATCTCTGGAAAGGAACGGAAATAGGGGAAAAAAAAGCCAAATCCTAAACGAGTAGGTGGTACTAATGACTTCACACAAATACTTGGACATTATAATGACTAGTAAGCGTAAAATTTGTTCGGCATACACCCACACAAACAAACTTCCAAAACTTTTTTGGGTTCCCTCCGAAACTGGGCTTACTGGCCCTTTGTTAAGCTGTAGGGATCATTAAGTACAATTTCTGGGAATTGTATTCAATATTATCTACGAAATACAAATATAAAAGCACTTATGTATCGACCTCTCGAATTTTATGTTGATACCAATGTATTTTACATATCATGGACTGTGAACAAAATTCTGCGCAATATCAAATTGAGTTCTATATTTGCATTTAAAACAATACGTTTTGGAATAACAGAAAAAATAACAAGACCACGTTTGCTTACATTACGTATGCACAAACCTTGCAGTGAAATAATAAAAGTAATTGAAATATTATTCGTCAAACATACAAAACAAAGAGATTCTACATATTAGAGTAAGTTGTATACATTTTTTTGATAGTATACCGTAAAAAAATTGCGAAATAGGTACATCTATTAAGTACATATTATGAAAGAATACCCGTTACAAAAAAATAATACATTTGTAAAAACGACAGAACCCCGAAATCGGTGAACATTTTTTGTCCTTTCGGTGATGTTAAGCCGGTATAGTTGTGTGCGTAGCTACCTGCGGTATCCGGGAGCCCGTCGTGTTACAATTCCAAAATAGATGAAAAAAATCTTATCGTTCTACACCTCGTACATCACTATTCATCTTCCTTTTCACGCCAAACTATAGCTTTGTAAACACGCAATGATAATCAAAACGGATCAACTTCATGATTTAAGAGCCGGCGCGGCGGCGTACACAAATCAAATACGAAAGATGTTTCAATATTATACACTTGATGAAATACTTAATTACCAAATAAATAAATAAAAATATGAAACATTTTGCCCTACTTACTTAAAAAAATTAAAGATTGTCTTTTCGGTTATTTTAGTATAAATAAGTTTTTGTATTGTTTCTATTACAAAATGTCAAAAGTTTAATTAAAAAGCAGTAAGTACTTACGCGCAATCGCTGGCACGAACATCGCCAGGAGCAGCTGCAGATGCAACTGAGCTGCCATTTTGGCAACCTGAAAAAAGGGTACAGATTAAAAAATCAATTCTGTTATTTTTTTTTCTACACTTCAATAGAAACAAAGGCACACATGGTAGTCGGTCTTGTTAAATACTTGTGAATGTTTTTATATTAATGTCTTGGTTTCGACCAAGTAGAAATAAAACTGTTTAAATATCTATTCTTTCATTTAAAAAACTATATTTTCGGTCTATGAGTCAAAATCAATACTTTTAAAACGACAAAAATGTTTTTTTTAATGAAGGATGGATTCCAAATCTAATTATTTTTAATTTTTTAACAGAGTAATCATTCGAAATTCAAAATTTTATTTCGAAGGTAAATTAAATATTGATTTAAAAACGTGTACTATTTTTAATATTTGGCTGAATACACAAACCAAAGATTTATTAGTCGTAGGTCACTAGTTCAGTTCTAATAAATTAAGGCTAATCAGTTATCTAATAGTAGTTATTGGCATCCTAATTAAGAACAATGTAATGTATCAGCATTACTCATTCTATTACAAAATAAATGAAAGCTTATTTTACTAAAATCCTTGCATAACTTAAATAAAAATGAAAATAAAAAGTAGGTACACAGCAATCTCTGTTTATATCACGGATAATAAATTAATCCCAAAGTTAAACTTAAACGTGCTATAAATTAAAAGGGAGTGAAAACAAAACGCAAATGTTTTATTTTTACAAGTAGATGTGTGTTTAAGCAACCCACATACGATATATAAAGGGCACTAATACTACTTGATTTAAAAGAAAGCCTGTATTTATGTTATTATTCTAATCTCTTCAAAGGATAGGGCTTTTACCGTAGAATTCCTGCTTTTATGAAAATCTAACTTTCAACTAAATTTTATATTATCTATCCAACTGTTAGACAAGCTAAATTGCTTTCAAAAGCTTCATACATAAGAACTGTTTTCAATTCCCATTTCAAATTAAAGTGTTTGAATAAGCCAACGATTTTATTGAACAAGGAATATTATTTTAAATTGCAACGTTCCGATCGCATTTCAAAATCGAAAGCACTTCTCCACTCAACCTAGTTGTATTTCTGTCATAACCCACGTAAAAAAGCAAAACACGATTTAAAATTAGAACGTTGTTGAAATCGGAAACCGACGCGTGCCAATAAACCAAAATAATACGTTAATAATGCGTTAACTGTTACAGACCGTTATTTATAAACAAAAAATATCTGCAACAATGTATCCTTTATTGCATAACTCCAATACATTCTTGATCGAACACTCGTTTACGAGAATGTGTTGTTATTTCACCTCGACACCGCGAGATCAAACGTCAATATCTTAGGATATTTGCATATCTATAAAACTCACACGCTATCATAAAATAACCGTTATCACATTTGTGAATAACTAATCTATGGTAATTATTAATTTATTGGCTGCCCACTTCGATGTTTTTGTTGTCTATTTATCACATATTTGACATTAAGTCGCTCTTAATAGCGGCAGTATATCGTAATCATCAAGTAATAACCAGTGAAGAAATCACCGATCGATAACCACTTGATATTGCTGGCTAATGGCCAGCTAATAACGTTAATAGATGTTAACTCTAACGTTATAGCTCAGGTTATAGAGCTGTGAACATTATTTTATAAATCTAATCACAGTTTTGCCCACACACTGCTTCGATTCTGTCTTTATACTGACTTTCTTTTTCGTAGCTAACCCGAGCTTGTTAGTGGCGAAAAGTTTGTTTTTCTAAAGTTCATTTACCACAGATAAAAAGGGAAGTATCAGATGTTTTTTCTTCTCGCCAATTGAGAGGAGCATCTCTATTGCACTCATAGGTATTACCTTTGCCAAATGCTTTTATGTAAAGTAGCCTGAACCGGCTGAGCGGAGTAGTAGCGTAGTGCTTGGCTAAATGTTCTCATCCTAGAAAGTTTGGCGTACGTTATAGCTACCAGTTTAAAACTATCGAATAAATATTCTAGGTTAATTTGAATTGAACTTCGGATTCCTAGTTTAATTGTGTATCTACGTAACATTTTGTCGATATCGACATCAGCTATCGACATAAAAGATATCGGACAGATTTAATTAACAATACTCACCACATTTATGTGAAAGCATTAAAACTTCACAATCGTTATATTAAATCTCTTCAACAATAATGAAAAATGTTCGTAAAACCGAAAGGTACTACTAGGAAAAAGGGGGATACTAAGGAAAAAGTTATTTGAATAAGTATAGGAGATAAATAAGGCGACACGTGAATTCAGAGGACAACTGCTAGTAAGTACGTGTAAGTAGTATTGTAATATACGTAATATGTAGTGACGATGATGGATTAGCAAACCGTTTAGTCGAAGAGCCCATCATTCATTACCCATTCAGCACACGCCAGAGGTGCTACCACTTGTATCGGCCACTAAATAACGAGAATCGCGGCATACATGTGTCACTGACGATTCCTAGAACTCCCAACACTTGTAAGATGTGGGTGAACATTTTATTATTATTGTTTTAGTTCGGACACAAAGATTACTTCCGCCCCACAACTTCGCAACTCCAATATTAAAAATTAACAGTTTCATCTCTTTGATGTTGTAGTTTCGCAGGCACTTCATTTACGAATTTTCCTCTGTAACATCGAATATGTTACGTACTCGTACGAGTAAAACTATAGCCAACCTGGTGCAATTACTTGCACTGAATTCCAAATTGAATTTTACCAATTCATTCAAAATATGCACCGACTAACAAATCGCTACCTACGGGGAAGCAGGCTATTTAACGTTTATACATCAATAAATCGTAATTCTGGGCGACCACAATAACTACAAATTGCGCCAGCGCCAATCATCCACAGTGATACAACTCACGTAATTACACGTAATCGTTTCAAGTTACTAAATTGAAATTCGTTTCAAAATGGCGGATTATTCAAATTAAGCGTCATATTTTAAGCTTATCGCGAATACAATATATTTTTGGTGGAACATGCCGCAAATTCTAGTTTATTACAAATACGATATACGAATTGCAGCAGCCAATTTTCGATGAAGCTGTCGATTTCGTTGTAATATACGTTACTTAGTTTCCTACGTATTTGGTAAATAGTCTATTGAATTTCATAGTACCTCCGACGTCTAGGAATGTAGTGAGCAATATACCTACATCCCGAAATTAATGGAACAAACAAAACATTGTGAATCCATTTCCGATGACTGGAAAAGTCTCAGCTGTTTATAAAGTGTTCGAATACTGGACGTAGTGTAGAAAAATGGGGTAAAGAATTATTTTTAAACCAGTGAAGATAACTGGACTTTGATTTCTTAATTCGAAGAAATCATTCGAGAAACTGTTTAAAGAAATATTTCTGATTTCATTCACTTCTGAACCATTTAAAAGATTAAACTAAAAATCGTGGGTTACTCATGTGAATATACTGAGAAAAGTTCTACTAGTGAAACACTCTGCGTGAGTAACCCGCGAGTCTCACGATAGTTATTATAAAAACATTTTAAACATAATTGGAATCCATTACGGAATATAAAAGCAGTCAGTAATAGAATGCCTGTTCATCCGAAATCAGTATAATCCTTGCACATACGTTGAAAAAGGTGTACATTCATATAAAAGGTCCCGATCACTCCAGACGGAATAAACCGCTCTTGGATGTTCACGGTCAATGTGAAATTGCATTTCCTGCGAGGCGCCTCGCTATGCCGTCCGGCAGCATTACAACGCTGTGAACTTTTTATACCTCCCCATCATTCAGGATTCCAGTACTACTGTCAGTTGCGACTTGCAACAAACAGGTGTGGGCAATCTTATCGATGCTGAATGTTCACTTTTTGTCCAACTTTGTACTCGCCGTGAGCGGATTATAAAGGACAATGATTGGCATGTTTGATAACGATTTCATATCGAGATTTAAAATTAGATATCTACTGGTGAGTGGTGGTAGCAAAAAAATATTGAATGTCCTCTACGCCATGATTTTTTATGATCAATAATACGTGTGGGAATGTCAACGTGAAAATCGATAAATGGAAAAATGGAGTTCTGACTATGAATTTACAAAATAGTTTATACATTAAGTGAAATAACTTAATAAAAATGAATAAATAAATAAAATAAAATAATGAATTTTTTTCACAAACGATATTTTAACTTAATGCACAATTATTATGAATGTGAACTATTTCATTAAAATGAAAATACCAACTGGAGTACCTCGGCACATATTTTAGATGCAATTTATTTATGCGTTAAATTTAATACCTACTACCAAACCAATTATGGTTCAAAATTTCGAAACAAGTGTGATTTAACTAATGCAAAATTAGTTTATGATTTCAAATTTTGATATAAGAAGCAATTTTCAAATACAACATTTCTAGAAATGCCTTTTGCAGCGTAAGTAGGGCTGTAGATTAAAAATGGAGTGGTATTTTCATTCGTGCATGATTAAACATAACTTTAAAAGTATAGCACAGTGCTTGGTAACAACTGCAGCTGCGTGGCTTGTGGCCATTCCAGCTCACTCTGAGTTAAGACAATGATTTATGAATAATTTGCTCCTTAAACTTGTGCCTGACTAAGAATAAGCTCTGAGTGTTCGTGGAGGGCGCGTGCAACATGAATTTCGAAACCCACTTACTTCGAACAACTTTACCTACTACATAAACTATCAACATTCTAAATGGTTTACAATAATACCAAACATCAGTATCTAATAAAACATAACAATCGTATTCAGCTATTACTCAACCAGTTTGACAGTTAACGTTCGATACTCATTGTATATTAAATCAACAATTAGAAATGCTAAGTACGAGCCCAAACAAGACATCTAAGTAAATGACAGGGGCTCTCAATCAAAACAAACGAACGGGCGATTGATAGTGTGACACATTAATCGTTGAGTTAACATATCATTACAGTTAGGAGTGTTTACATTATTATGCCGAACATGTCCTGCCGAGGACATCGTCTACGCAACCAAC